TTTTTTGCAGAGACAGGGTTTCGCTACATTGCTCAGCTGTTCTCAACTGCTGGCCTCAAGTGATCCTCCTACCTCACCCTCCCAAAGTGCTTAGGATTACAGGCATAAGCGACTGTGCTCAGCTAACCCTAAGTTTAAAAAATACCTTTTGACTCCTCTAATTGACTTCTAGATTTGATAAACGAATTCAGCAGTCTCAGGTTATAAAATCAACATACAAAAATAAATAGCATTTCTACACACCAGCAACAACCAAGCTGAGAACCAAATCAGGAACTCAATCCCATTTACAATAACTGCAAAACAAAAAAATAAACCCTACGAGAGAATTTAACTACGGAGGTGAAAGATCTCTACAAGGAGAACTATAAATCACTTATGAAAGAAATCACAGATGACATAAACAAGTGAAAAATTATCCCATGCTCAAGGATCGGAAGAATCAATATTGTTAAAATGACCATACTGCCCAAAGCAATCTACAGATTCAATGCAATTCCTATCAAAATACCAATATCATTTTTCAAAGGATTAGAAAAAACAATTCTAAAATTCATATGGAATTAAAAAAAAAAAAGCCCAAATAGCCATAGCAATCCTAAGCAAAAGGAAGAAAACTGCTGGCATCACATTGTCTGACTTCAAATTACACTACCAAGGAAAGAGTAACCCAAAACAGCATGGTACTAGTATAAAAATATACACATAGATCAATGGAATAGAATAGAGAACCCAGAAATAAAGCTACATACTTATAGCCAACTGAACTTTGACAAACAATACACTGGAGAAAGGACATTCTTTTCAATAAATGGTGCTGGGAAACTTGGATGGCCATATGCAGAAGAATGAAACTGGGTCCCTATCTCTCACCTTATACAAAAGTTAACTCAAGATGGATTAAAGTCTTAAATGTTAAGACCTGAAACAAAAATCCTGCAAGAAAACCTAGGAAAAACTCTTCTAGATGTTGGCCTAGGGCAAAGAATTTATGACTAAGACCCCAAAGGCAAATGCAATAAAAACAAAAATAGACAAATGGGACTTAAACTAAAAAGCTTGTGCACAACAAAAGAAATAAAACAGTAAATAGACCTACAGAATGGGAGAAGATATCCCCCAAACTGTGTTCAATAAAGGACTAATATCCAGAATCTACAAGGAACTCAAATGACTCAGCCAGAAAAAAGCCAAACCTCCTCCTTAAAAAGTGGGCAAATGACACGATCATTTTTCAAAAGAAGATATTCAAATGGCCAAACATATAAAAATGTATTCACCATCACTAATCATCAGGGAAATGCAAATTAAAATCACAATGAGATACCATCTCCGATTAGAATGGCCATTATTAAAAAGTCAAAAAACAATAGACGTTCGCATGGATGCTGTGAAAAGGAAACACTTAGAGACTGTTCGTGGGAATGTAGATTAGTACAACCTCTATGGAGCTCAGTATGAAGATTTCTCAAGGAACTAAAAGGAGATCTACCATTGGATCCTGCAATCCCACTACTGGGTATGTACCCAGAGAAAAATCAATCATATCAAAAAGATACCTACTCAGATGTTTATCACAGCATTATTCAGAATTGCAAAGAAAGATATGGAATCAACCTAAGTGCCCATCAAACATGAGTGGATTAAAAAATGTGGTATATATACATCATGGAGTACTGCTCAGCAGTAAGAGAGAATTAAATAATGTCTTGCAGAAACTGGATTGAACTAGAGGCCATTATCCTAACTGAATTAACTCAGGAACAGAGAAACAAATGCTGCATGTTCTCACTTATAAGTGGGAACTAAACTATGGCTACATAAGGGTATACAGAGTGGTATAATAGACAGTGGGGATTCACAAGCAGGGAGGGCAGTAGGGGTGAGGGATGAAAAATTACCTATGGGGTACAATGTGCACTATTCAGGTGATGGGTACACCAAAAGCCCAGACTCCACCACTATATGTGTGTAATGGAATTCAACTTGTACCCCCTAAATCTACTGAAATAAAGAAAGAAATTTAAAAAAATCTTTTATTTGAAGATATCCATGTATACATACACAATAGTTTAACATACACTAAATTATTTTTAAAAGGATTCAAAGGATACCCTCATAGCATATTTATCTAGGTAAGTAAATCTGAGAAGTACAGCAACTGAAAAGAACCTCACATGTTACTTTATCTTACCTCATTTTATAACTGAGATTCAGATAAAAAAATTTATTTAAGCCCAATCAATCTGCAGGTAGCAGAGCCTTCCTGATTGCCTAACTCATTTTTCTCATCACTATCTTTTCATCAAGATTTTGTTTTACAATGATTACATACTACCTGAGCTAGAAGTAGATTCAATACTACTCCAGCACTAGACATGCCTAAGTCAAAGTACACATACACTCAAAAACACACCCCCGTATACACACGTGCGTATGCAACCTCCCACTGGATTACAAAATCCATAAACACTGTCGTGGGTGCCCAGGAAACATTTTCCATGTGATACTAAATTAATTTAGTTATTCCTACCTTTATTTTTTCTTACATATATTGTAAGAATAACATTATTATTCTCATTACATATGATTTTGACCACATTTGTTACCAAATGGCCTCCAATTTCATGATACATCCCAGATATGTTCCACCAACTAGAATTCAAAAGGTTAAAAAAGAGATTCTCTGAACTGCTGCAGTTGGGGGTACAGAAGCAGAGAGACTGAGAATGTTTGACAGTATTACACAGGAAGCAGTCAATAGTAAGGGGATGTTGTGATATTGTGTGTCTATGTGTCTGTCTGCAAAAGATGGTTAGGAACCTGCTTTCAACTGTACTTCAATCACTCCTTGCCAAAGCATTTGTAAAATGCTCCTGCCTTCACAGCAGCACTTTAGATAGACGTGCCCAGCATCAAGAGAAATAGACATAACCATGGCATTGGCAGCCAGCATTTTACAGAGCATATTGTAGGGAAGCAAAGATTTAACAACTTGAAATCATTCATACTTAATGAGTAAAGCTGGCGTTTTACACGTATGAGGACCAAGAAAACATAGAAGTGACAAATCTCTATGTAACAAAAATAGAACCATATGGAGCTAAAGAAAAGGATCAGAACTACGGACTATACAAGGAAAGCAGGAATCAAAATTGAACCAGAACAAAGGCTACTAGTTAGCAAAAACTACTTCCTTATCAAAGAACAAATAGAAACTGGTACCAGAACCCTACAACCTCCTCCATAATCAATCACAATATACTATATAGAGGATTATTATTGTACTTACCGGACTGTACTGCCTATCTTATTTATTTACATGTCTGTCTTAAATGAACAGAAAACATATCAAATTAGTCAATACGTTCTGGAATTATTATTAGCTCTAGGAAAGTAGTTACAGGTAAAATTGATTTTTCTACTTAAATTTACTTTAAAAGGTGACAAAGGCAGGACACTGGAAATACAGACATTTTCTAAACAGGAACAGGAATGAAGACTAAACACACTGATTTATTTGTAACACATGCTACCAAGCAGCACTTACTGACATTTATTGGCCTTCTTTCTATATTTAACAAACATAGGTTTCAAATAAGTATTTTACTTGTATACCTGAGGTAATGTCTTATAATATCTTCCAAGTCGTATCACAGCTATCTGTTATTCTTACAGTATTATGGGCATCAAAGAAACAAAAAAAGCATGGAAGGTATGCAAATAACAAATCCTTCTTGGCACTATGTAAACTTTTGTTTCAGTTAGAATAGATCAATTCACACACCGTGGGACGACAGAGTGAGAAGTTCTCTAACTTTGGGGGTGTTACAACAAATGCAAATTATTGGCCAGCTCTCAGAGACTTAGATTCTATATTTGGTGCAGAACCTAGGATATCGCACTCTGGTCGACTGTGATGCAAGCATCCTAAAATACAGACCCGAGAGACTGAGCATACTATTAAAAAAACAATTTTTAATAAGCAATTATCAGTAGATACTTTCAAAAATGCTCACGAGTCCTGCATGATGTTAAACACTTTACACGCATGATTTCACTTAATCTTCAGACAACTTTACAGGGTAGGCAGTAATATCACCACCCCTCTTATGGGGAAACTGAAGCTTTAAGAAATTAGGAAGGCTGTCCAAGTCACATAGCTACTGAGAGCTATTAAGTGACAGGTGGAGCTGAAACTCAAACTCACTTTGTTTAACTCCCCCACACTCTTACCGATTACAAAAACGTGCCTTTTCGTAGGGATGCATGCAGTTAGAATTTGCCTCTTTTGCTATATTCCCTTCACCTTAAAAACGGGCCTTTACTATGCCATTACCTGGGATTTTCATAATTTCTATATGTAATAGAAATTGGTAGCAGAACATATTAAATACAGACATTTCTCTTAGCATCCTTTTCTCCTTCCTTTTCCAATCTGTTCTACTGTATGCATAATTCATAGATTAATAACCCTAAAATTCAACATTCAATGATTTCATTAAAATCACCCCCTTGTAATTTCTTCAAGCTGTATTTTTTTCTTTTCTTTTCTTTTTTTTTTTACTGAGACAGAGTCTGGCTATGTTGCCCGGGCTAGAGTGCCGTGGCATCAGCCTAGCTCACAGCAACCTCAAACTCCTGGGCTTGAGCGATCCTACTGCCTCAGCCTCCCAAGTAGCTGGGACTACAGGCATGCGCCACCATGCCAGGCTAATTTTTTCTATATATATTTTTTAGTTGTCCAGATAATTTCTTTCTATTTTTAGTAGAGACGGGGTCTTGCTCTTGCTCAGGCTGGTCTC